TCACTTCTCAAAAGAGGGCTTCGTCTTCAGTAGGTATAGTTTATAACTAGACTCTGCGCACAGGGTAACTGTACATATTCATTCATTCAACAAAGAGATGTTTAACTAGAAGGGATGATGCTCCGAAAACTATATTTCTTTCTGTGTAAATTCATCACTCTGGTAATATATTAATAATGACTTAAGTTCATTTACTTCAGAGTAATTTTTTTATTTTCGACGTTTCGCAAATCATCCAATTCAATTTCAATTTCAATTTCGCTAATCATCCAATTAGCTTTATCAAGTTTACATTCAAAATGTATTGTATTGTTCAATTATTACGTCATAAATAATATAACTGTGTACTTCCATTTTGAATGTAATCTTGATAAAGCTAATAGAATGATTAGCGAAACGTCGAAAATAAAACATTTTACTCTGAAGTAAATTAACTTAAAGGACAACTGAAATAGCTTTTCTCAACTTGCAGCTACAAACATGCGGTTTTCTCCATTGTAAGCCCGCCGTAGGGTTCTTGCGATAGCCATTATAAAATAAATGTTAGATAACTGCTAACGGTCATAGATAACGAAATAAAACTAACTGATAAATCAAATTGGCCCCCACGTGATTTGTAACGTCATATACAAAATATAACTTTGGTTTATTGGTGTCATAGTAATCACAACGTCACGGCAACCATAGGATTGTTGTGTAAACAACTTAAATAACAAAACATTTTGGCATTATGACGTCATGATCTAATTGAAAAAAACGGGCCATGTGGGGGCCAGTGAGAGATCACGTGGGGGCCAATAACGTCACAACCAATTCGAATATTGCTTATTAAGCAGCTATAACGATCGTTAGAGTGAAATAGTTTTCACACTACTGATGAGAAAACATGTCCAAATACATATATCAAAAAATTATATTGATTCCTTTAGGTTAAAAATACCATTTCATATCTGCTTTAAGTTTTTATTTATATTTCCTTCTCTTACATCAAATCTTCTCAAAGTGGCAGAGTGATGAAGGTTATATAAGTTGAACATAAAGACTAATTATTTTATCACTAAATAAATTCGTATACTATCCATAAGACTCAAGGAGCATCAAATAGGATTCATGTCTCCCTTGAGGACTTCCTTCTGACAGTTTTCCTAAAATGATGGACGAGAAGTCGACACTCTAGGGGCCAAGACATCATAGTTATACACACGCACGTTGTCACCCTGTACGAACCAGATAACGGAAGTTAATAATGCCCAAAAGGCCATATTTCTTTTTTATGTGCAAGCGCTCTTTTTAACGTATTAATTGAAATAGAAAAAAGTTCTATTGGGAGCTGTGAACTACATTGTACAGGGTGGTTCAAATAACGTCCACATTTTAATCAAAAGAGTATGACATAACTTACGGGTTCTCCAAAGAGTTGTGGCTCCTTAAACTCAGTTTTAAAGGGTTTGCAAGGTCGTGTTTTTTCTATTATCCAAGGAAGGATATACAGAAGATCGAATATCAGATTTTTTCAAAAAGTTTTTTTCTAAATATTTCTTTTAAACCATGGGATAAACGGACAATCCTATGGTTTTTCAAAAATATCAATTATATCCACTCATGGATACAAATATCTTCACTCATTCGCTTTGCTCACTCATGAAGATATCAATATCCACTCACGGATATAAATGATATTTTTCAAAACCATAGGATATTCCTATATTATCGAATAATCTAAAATCGCAAGTATTGAGGCCAAACCAACAAAAATCACCATATTTTTATAAGTAGGAGCGTCAAGTACTATTCGAGCACATCTGCTTAGTGCTTAGATACAATACATTTAACATAATCATCAATATATTTTGTAATCAACATCCGGATCTTGACATCGATTTGTTTTATAATCGACATATTATGAGATATCCGACCTTAAAGCAGGTGGGTAGAAAAATACCGTATAGACTCATCATTCCGACGTCAGATTCGAAACAAAGGCAAATTACAAACATTAAAATGACATGAAACACCAGTTATGGGCTCAGTTTCATAAATTGGCCATTTCCTCATGATGGGATCCCAGATTCAAAGAGGAACGATGATCGCTGCAATACTGCAGATCAATAAAATCGCTCTCGCTTTGCAAGTTTAAGTCAAACAATATTTACAGGAAAGATTGTCCGCATTTTAGTGCCCCTTTTTATAAGGCTTTCATTAGCCCTGATTAAGTATAGCTTGAGATCATCAATGATATAAAATATACATTTCACTATCAGACATAATGTCAGAGTAACTATAAGAGAACTGATAAGGCATTAATAAGGAAAATGCCACGACCTGCCATTTGTTACAGACGCCGCACAGAACGTTAACTGCCGAACATCAACCGTCGATCGCCAAACATCGTTCACAAAAGTTGGAGAATATAACAATGTGTCACCCCTTCTGTTAAAATGGAAGATTCGCCGAAAACTAGGAACGAGTTCAATTTCTGAAAGTCTAGCTTATCGTCTGGATTCTTCTCTATACGTTTCTGACATTGAATCTCCCCATTTATCAAGACTTTAAAAGGCTCTTCAAAGTAAATCTCCGCGTCTAGATTCTAATCTTTAATTGATTTGATCTTGATGGATATTGTTTCATTATTTATTCCTAATTAAGTAGATACAAAGCTGTCTATTCTTTCAGCGATAGTAAATTAATCAGTGAAGACAGGTAAGATGCAACTTTGCAAACGTGAAGACGTTGCTACAGCGAAATTGTTGCCAAATTGAAAACGTTGCCAAAATGTGAGCGTTGCCAAAGTGAAAACGTTGCCATAGTGAAATTGTTGCCAAAGTGAAAACGTTGCCGAAGTGAAAACATTGTCAAAGTGAAAACGTTGCCAAAGTGAAAACTTGCAAAAATGAAAGCCAAAATGAAAATGTTGCCAAAGTGAAAACGTTACCAAAGTGTGAATGTTGCCAAAATGAAAGCGTTGCCAAAGGGTAAATGTTGCTAAAATGAAAACTTTGCAAAAGTAGAAACTCTGCCAAAGTTAATACGTTGCCACAGTGGAATTGTATCCAAAGTGAAAACGTCAATAAGAGGTGGTAATTTTAGTTTATGTGGTTCTATCAAAATAACAGTAGTACATTGAGGGTCGTAGTTACATAAACGATTTAAGTCCCCGTTTTAGTGTGCCTTTATTGACCCCGACTGTTTTTACAATCCCTCATATAATGATCATCGTAACAGATCACGGTCTTTGTGAGTTGTATAATAGATAAGCTCAATATCTTAAAGAATTATCTAACATGACATGATCTCGTTTTCTATATCCATCCACTAGATATAAACAAAATTAAAGGTTAAAAACAACGTATTAAACTAACTAAAATGTCCCTAGTTTGCTACCGATAAAATAAATTTTCAACATTGGGCTTTTCATTTTAGAAGGTTCATCATCCGAAAAGCTCAACGGATTATTCTCCACATCTCATTATCTAACCCTTAATCAAAATTATAACTCCGGAACCTATTTATCATGAAAAACAAATATTATGTGGTTCTGAGTTGTCCGATTACAGATTCATATGAACCAGATCGTGGCCGAAAGTGAGAGAATCAGAATTGTTTTTAAAGGCTTTTCATTGACTCCTCCAATTTATCAACACTTTTAAAGGCTCAACATTACCTTGCACGTAGAGTCGTTATAAACGTCAACTGAAGACGACACACTCTTTTAAGAAGCGAAGTCGAATGAATGAAACAGATAGCTCCTCATTGATTCTTCCTGTTTATTAATACTTTTAAAGGCTCCTCATTGAGTCTTTTCATCTATTAAGACCTTAAATGCTCCTCATTGACTCTTCCCATTTATTAAGACCTTAAATACTCCTCATTGACTCTTCCCATTTATTAAGACCTTAAATGCTCCTCATTGACTCTTCCCATTTATTAAGACCTTTAAATGCTCCCCATTGATTCTTCCCATTTATTAAGACTTTAAAATGCCCCTCATTGACTTTCCCATTCAATAAGCCTTTTAAATGCTCCTCATTGACTCGTCCCATTTATTAAGACCTTTAAATGCTCCTTATTGATTCTTCCCATTTATTAAGACCTTTAAATGCTCCTCATTGACTCTTCCCATTTATTAAGACTTTTAAAGGCTCCTCATAGACTCTTCCCATTTATTAAGACTTTTAAAGGCTCCTTATTGACTCTTCCCATTTATTAAGACTTAAATGCTCCTCATTGACTCTTCCCATTTATTAAGACCTTTAAATGCTCCTCTTTGACTCTTCCCATTTATTAAGACCTTTAAATGCTCCTCATTGACTCTTCCCATTTATTAAGACTTTTAAAGGCTCCTCATAGACTCTTCCCATTTATTAAGACTTTTAAAGGCTCCTCATAGACTCATCTCATTTATTAAGACTTTTAAATGCTCCTCATTGACCCTTCCTATTTGTCCAAAGGATTAAAAATCAAAATCATTGGAAATGATATATTGAATGTGATTCAGTTTAAAAAGTAAAAACAGGTCTCAGTTCCTTAACCGCCTATGTTAGGTGATCAATCTTGATTCACCTAAACGGCAAAAATGTTAAACGTAAATTGAAGTGCTATTTATTCTGTAGTGATCGGTAACAATTAATCATGTGAAGGAGAAAAAGAAGGGCCGCTGAGTATTCTCTACGTCATGTTTATTCACTTAAAGTCAAATGGACGTCTGGAAAATATGGCAAAAAGCACATGGGGTTTTATTCCTGTCATTTTTTATTCATGGTGCAGTTTTGGTTAAAGATGTGAATTGGTATTGCCGCCCGTTGGACTTTTATTTTGTATTTTTTCCGTCTCTGGAGCATGGTATGAAGTCAATGGCATTGAAATAAAAAAAATTGGAATTCAACCGAAAAAGTAAGCTTTTAATACGTAGCCCTGTTTATAGACTCCCGTAAGCCACGCAAAAATTTGTGTGATATTTTTCGATGATTTAAACGAAAGTTTAGTGTTTTTCTCTATTTCAGCAAACGAGCCTATGGTTGTTAAAATCGACCTGAACATCAGGAGCATGGGTCCTATTTCAGACACTGACATGGTAAGAAAATGTCCATTTAAATCATAGATGGGAGCATTTTGCTTTGTTTTGGGCTTTTGTCTTCAGTAAATTTATATGGTTCATCTGCCCATCATCCATGGGCATTATTAGGTATATATACCTAGTTGAAAAGAAACGACCATACACGTGAAATTGAATTCTTAATTTGATATTTAGTATATCTATAAAATCATATCCATTACTTTTGAATTGTCCCTCGCACATAATGAACGTTGATTGTATTGTATTGTATTGTATTGTATTGTATTGTATTGTCCTTTAATTCCTACTTTTAAGAAGATTTACAAAATCAAATGACAAAAAGTTATAATTTACTTATAAAATCGTTCTGCTTTTTTATCGCGGAGTTTCATAAAAGTATCCATTCAAACTTGTTTTAAACACCTTTATAGTCGATATCACCATGAGATTTTGCACAGATAAACTAAAGTCAATTTCCAACGCTCAATATTTTGATTTGTCAAACAATGTCAGGTGTTAATTTTGCAGAATAGTAATGTTGCAAAATTGTCTCACATTTTTTCGCATATTGCATGATAGCATTTGCATTTTGCGAAATGGTATATGTTTTATGGCACCATTTGTCAGAATAAGAAGACTACTCTATTTTACCAGTAGGCATATCAGATGGATTGCTACTTCCGGCAAACATGGACGGATTCTCGACTGAAGTTCCACGGTGGCGACATCCATCGGCTGATCGTGTCAATTAAAATGATGGAACAACTATGGAAGCCCGACACTGTCTTCTACAATGGTAAACGATCATATCTGCACACAGTGACGTCACCAAATAAATTCCTACGCATAGAGGAGGACGGCACTATGTATTACTCAATGAGGTACAACTACAATCCCCTACATAAGTTTGGCAACTGGTAGTTCGATTATCATTCGATAGCATACCAAGGCCTGACAGTGGATCCTTTTTTATTTTGTTCCTTAAACACAAAATTTCGGAAAATGACAAATTCGATGATTTGATATGTGATCCAAAAGGCGACTTCAAGTTGCGAAACTTATTGAGGGGAGGGGAGAGTTGTGTAGATTATACTTAAGTCATCGGTCAGTCCTCGTACGTGTATTTTTCATTTTGAATAGGATGATACTCCTGTTTATTTTATTCGGTATCTAATATTGAAAAATAAGAAGAAATTTCGGCCTTTGCTGTTAAAATAAACCAACTCGAATCTAGAGGGTTTTGTAAACAAAAATGGATACCTTGCCGTATATCTGGCTATCATTTAGTATTTATCTACATGTAAGATATCCCCTCTACTGATCGCAAGCATATGGGGAAGTAATTCCAAAAACAAACATGTTATCTTACGCTGGTATGAAGAACTAAATAAGCAACCAGAAACTCAATCTTGGAAGTTTCTCTCCTTCGGGAAGTCTTTAATCTATTCTAAATCTGAATTTAGATCTATATTTTGGAATCGGATTGCGGAATTTATTCCAAGATGATTCGGTATGATTTAGTAAGTTAATAGGGAGTATACCTATTACTTTCACAGCGAGCGACTCCGTTAAAGGCCAATTGCCTTTGATACGAGTAAGTTTGTCGACGGGATCACCTGTTGAAATCAACCTATAAGTGAGTGCCCTTTTAAAGCCAATCAGAAAATAAGTGAGATTTTTTAGATTCGCTAAATGATTTAAGGTAAACTGTATCATAGATTCCTCCGATGAAACAGCATTGAACTCAATTTCGTCATAAGATTCAAGGGCGTTGGTAAATGTAGATATGGGCTAAGCGAGGAAAATGCCTCTGAAATTTTACTGTAAAATATTTTCTAGATATTCCAAAACAGCAACAATATGCGACAATGTTTTATCTATTAACTCTCTCAAACTCTTAGCGGTATGTAACGTGGAGTCCAGATTCACGCGGAGCATCAAATCAACGCACATCCTTGTATCTTGCACAACGTAAATATTCTTTATTTTGTATCACAACAGTGAGATTCCGAGCCTCGCATTAACAAATTAAATATACCGCCAGGACTTCCAAGTCAGAGTGATTTTACAATGGTTTCGGAGATCATAAATGCGTCAATGATACGATTATAAAATCGACATAAAATCGGTGTTATAATATCAATAAAGATAGCTAGGTTTTATGTTTTAGCGGATCAAATTAAAGGCCGTGATTCGACGAAGATTTGTAAGATTATATGATCAGTTATTGAATTACTTAATCCCGATCAAGAGGTGCTATTTAATTTTACAAGATGTATGAATCCCAAATTGACTAATTTCACTTTGGCGAATTCGACAGAGACGGGCCGCAACAACAATTATTAACAAAAATTGTGTCTTCAAAAGTTTTATGTTTTTCCATTCATTACTAGAGAAATAACCTTCATGCTATACCTTTAATTTTCAATGGAAAATAGAAAGTTGATTTAATGATGTTTATGACTGCATATGGGAATATCCTTGGTGGATTAAGATTCACGGAATTTACAGTATTCATCTTAAAATGCAAAATTCTTCACCATATCATGGATCGTTTTTGAGAAAGAACCACATTGCTACTCGCGTATCTGTCCCTCAATTTCTTACCCTGTCCGTGAATGCTTTGTATCTATTTGCCTCAAATGTACCAGTATATATCGAGGCTTACTCTAACGACACATAAACTGGAGTATCATACACGATATAAAACAAAATGGTTTGGGAGTCACGTTTTGGCAAATTCCATCTTGGGAATATACAGACCCTTGTGTCACCCAATTCATTTGATAGTTATATTTTATTTCCATTATGGTGAAATTCCCTGCAATCTGATCGTGAAGAATATGTTCTGTATATCACTCGAATCATTGAATAACTTATAGAATGTGATTTTATGAAACATACAAAATTGAACTGAATTGAAAATAACTTCTGGGAGAGAATATGTATCAACCTTGCCTCGATCGATGTATACTCAGCCCTAAACACCCTGTAAATAATTCTTCAACGTTTACTCGCAATGATCTCCTCAACTATCGATTAAGCATGGTCTCTGGATTAACCCCAATTAGCGAAACAAAGAGTCGATGACTAAAACAAATTCAAATTCAATCCAATGTAAATATCGCATGAAATAAAAGTTATGACTATTGTTACGTTATTTTACCCTATACGGAACCCATTAAACAGTTTAATTGATTGCGGTCGAAAATGTTTACAAAAGGGCTTGAATTACTGCGGATTGTGTTAATGTCTCGTCTGTTAATGTCTGTTGGTACCCTTTGCATTCGTTTGACTTCACTTCTTAAAAGAGAGCTTCGTCTTGTAGTTTAACTAGACTCTGCGTGCAGGCTTCGTCTTGTAGTTTAACTAGACTCTGCGTGCAGGCTAGGGTAGTCTGTTTGAGTTCATTATCTATAAAACTACTAAGTGCCGTCGCATCTTCACATTTTCTAGTTACTCGGCTCCCTCCGAACAAAGTGAATGAATGCCGAGCGTACGAAGTTGACATCAGATTGTTTATTAATAGATAGTGTATGTTTTAGTCGATTTAGGCATCATATTTTAGAAAATGGGAAACCAATATATACGAGTACACAAGAAAAAAGTTCAGGTGTCAGACTAAATCTCTCTATGCCCGGCAAAGTGCAAAATTGTTTGAAGATATCAAATAGACTATGTCTTTTAGTACATAGCAATTAGTTGGGTCTGGAACTTTGGAACCAAAGCTGGAACTAAAATAATGTTGTTTGTTTGCGTAATTCAATATAAGCGCTATACAATCAGTTACTTAACGCTATTGTATAAAAAGGGTATCTGAACGATATTGTATTAAAGTACGTTCTAAAGTGAAAATTAAGTAATGCGATTTGTAACAAGGAACAGATGTTACTACTTCTCAATCTCCATTTGAATTAAGTCTATGAGAACTTCACTGTGAATGAGAATAGCTTCATTAAAAGCCCAAATGAGACATGGGCTAGATTAAGCTTGTCTTAAAGCGATTGCGCTAATCGATGATGTGAAACGCCGGATTTACAGGAGTTGAAAAATATGAGGAATGTCTTCTGTGACGATTTGTGGTATTGCGTGATCCTATAAACCTAATTGTGCATGTTCGATCACATCTCAATTGATCAATTTCCCATATGAAACCCCAATGAAATCCTCGCCAAGGGTGCTTCATAATACTTTGACTGACAGCCTTTAAAATATTTACGATGAAGTACTCCCTCGGTATATGGATCTACGTAGATGTGTCCAAAATTGCACTCGATATAATTACCTCTGTTCAACTCGAAGAATCGGATGAACGACATGCTGTTTTTATAGCCATGAGTGGGCCATTTTGGCACATTTGGGCAAACCTTTGAATCGAATTATATCAGATTGTTAGTCAGATCAGAACAAGTCCGGCTTTATTTATAGACTATAGAGAGACTAATTTGACTCGCAGCTAAGTTCCAGGGCTTAAAAACTCAGTTTGGTTATATTTCAGTAACCTTAATTCATTCTTGAGCTAAAAAAAACTGTTGTCAGTTTTGGACATTTTAGAGTAGCGACACTGGTATTAAAAAGATGCGTCGTCCCTGCTTCTGTCCCCATTGTCATTTGAAAGGAACCATCTTAGAATTTGGCTTACAGCTATGTGATTCACTTGTCAATCTTTCTGTATTGATCTAATCCAATTTGGCATTATCAATCAGCTCTTTGATTTCATTTCTAATTTATTGTGTGCTTGGATTACTGATCTATTTAGTTAGATTGGTTTGGTGCGCACTCTACACCAACTGGGTACCTAATTAAACATGTCCTTGCGTTTGCGGAGCAAGATGGCCGCTCGAAGAATACGACGTTCATACGTGTATTTTCTCGTTTTAGTAGCTATATCTTGTAACGGATTTAGAGAAAGAATAGCTAAATTGCCCAGATGTGACTACAAGAGGGGGGGGGGGGTCGGAGATGAAACTATGAAACGTGAGCCCCACCATCTTGTTTCCTACCTTGCGCGCAGAGTCTAGTTATAAACCGAAGACGAAGCTGTCTTTTAAGAAGTAAAGTCGAACAAATGCAAATGGTATTCGTTTCCTGTCTTGTGGATTCATTTGGGAAATGAACAGCTAGCGGAGTTTAGTGAAACGTCTTCATTTATTAGTGAAAAATATTTGATTAAGGAAATCACATAACATAAATGAATAACATTTTCGAAATACGATTATTCTTATCTTATTTTATTAGTCGTACTTGTAGTATCTTTCATGGAGTGACATTGTAACATTGTAATACTAGATACACTGGCGGATCCAGAATCTACCAAGGAAGGGGGAGGGGGCGCATTTCAAGTCAGGGTAAAAAAAATCCGCGCGGAAAGACGTTTTGGGGCCCCTAAAACCCCAGCGCCCCCTGAATCCGCCAGTGATATATATAGATGTCAAATCACAATGGAGTTCAATTTAACAAAAAGCTCCTTTGCATTATCAGGAATATGAAAAGTATTGGAAATAAAAACAGTTTCTCAGAACTTTGTTTTAAATGCAATGTTTATTTATTATAAGTTGTAAAACTACTTTTAGATAAATAACACTTGACAAAGATTAGATATATATTATCTTTATAAAACGACGCGGGTGTTTCTGTCACACTCCCCTTCATAAGTTTGGCCACAGGAAAACACCCGGTTGCCAAACTTATGGAGGGGAGTGTAGCTGTAAAAAGTGATTAATGAATTAAGTGATAATAAACTTTATTATATCACTATCTAGCTAGCGACAGTATGATTGGTCAAAACCGGGTCACATGTCGTGGGATATCTGGCGATATTCAATGGCAATGCTAATCAGATAAGACAACCGTGAGATATCTAGCGATATCCCACGCTCCC